AAAGATATTTAAAAGCACCTAGCATAGGTGGTCTTAAATTTTCATTATTTAAGTCCTTGGAGCTACTTGAAAAAAAAAAAGAAATAATATTCACAGAATCACAGAAAGATTGAGGTTGGAAATGACCTCTCCATATCACCTAGTCCAACCTCCCTGCTCAAGCAGAGTTGCCTACAACACATTGCACAGGACCTCATCCAGACAGCTCTTGAATATCTCCAAGCATGGAGACTCTACAACCTCTCTGGGCAACATGATCCAGTGCTCAGTCCCTCTCCCAGTAAAGAAATTTTTCCTTATGTTCAGACAGAACTTTCTGTGTTTCAGTTTGTGCCTGTTGCTTCTCATCCTATCACTAGGCACCACTGAGAAGACTGGCCCCATCCTCTGGTTGCCCTCCCTCCACATATTTAAACACACTGATAAGATCCCTCCCTCAGTCTTCTTTTCTCCAGGCTAAACAGTCCCAGCTCCCTCAGCCTTTCCTCATAGGAGAGATGCTCCAGTCCCTTAATCGTCTTAGTAGCCCTCTGCTGTACTGGCTCTAGTAGTGCCATGTCTTTCTGGTACTGGGGAGTCCAGAACTGGACACAGTACTCTAGGTGTGGTCTCACTAGAGTTGAGTGGAGGGGAAGGATCACCTCCCTTGACCTGCTGGTAGCACTCCTAATGCAGTCCAGGGGTTCTTTGCCACAAGGGCATATTGCTGGCTCATGGTCCACTTGTCCACCAGGAACTCTACATCTCCTGCTCTGCAGAGCTCCTTTCTAGCAGGTCAGCCTCCAGCCTGTACTGGTGCATAGTTTTTTCCCCCAGGTGCAAGACTCTGTGCCTCCTTTTATTGAACTTCATGAGTTCCCCTCTGGCCATCTCTCCAGCCTGTTGAGGTCCCTCTGAATGGCACCACAGCCTTCTGGGGTATCAGCCACTCCTCTCAGTTGTGAATCATCAGCCAACTTGCTGAGGAGGCACTCTATTCCTTCACCCAGGTCACTGATGAAGTGAAGTTGCATAGGACTAGACCCCATATTGACCTTGGGGGACACTACTAGCTAAAGGCCTCCAACTAGACTTTGCACCACTGAGGACAACCCTCTGAGCTCTGCCATTCAGCCTTTTCAGTCCACCTCACTGCTCCTCTAGTCCGTACTTCATCATCAGCTTGCCTATGAAGAGGTGTTGGGAGACAGTGTCAAAAGCCTTGCTGAAAACAAGGTAGACAACATCCACTGCTCTGCCCTCATCTACCCAGTCATTCATTCCCTCATAGAAGGCTATCAGGTTGGTTAAGCGTGATTTGCCGCTTGTGAATCCGTGCTATCCACTCCTGATCACCTTCTTATCCTTCACATGCTTAGAGATGGCATCCAGGACAAGTTTTTCCAGGGACGGAGGTGAGGCTGACTGGTCTGTAGTTCCCTGATTCCTCCTTCTTGCCCTTTTTGAAGACTGGAGTGACATTTGCTTTCTTCTAGTCCTCAGGCACTTTCTTTGTGAATTTATGTTTACTAAAGACCCAATACTTCTTGATAGAATACCTGCTAGAAGGTATCCTGAAATTGCTTTTCTAAAAACAACAAAAAGTGAAAGTGGTTTCATTTTTGCTTAAAATCACTTATTTTGTAATTTTTTTTTTTTGCCCCTGCCCTCATAAAGTTCATTCAAAAAGATAAACAACTGAGGAATCTTTTGTTTGCTGCAATTGCATGTAAAGCAAAATTTTCACCTGAGATTGTCAGAAATAGTGACTGCCAGCTGAGTCTCACACAGTACTGCTCATCTGTTGAACTTTGTTCAATCTTGTAAAAAAATTGTATAATTTGTATAATGCCTTTTTTTTTTAATCACACTACAGAAAAGGAGATTGAAGAACCAGTAACAGTGAATGTTTGCAACATCACAGACACGTCTACAAAAGGTAGTTGCCTAAAGGGATTGTTAAGTTATGTTACTGTGTTGGAAACTGATACAAACGCATGAAAATATATTTTCTCGGGTGGAGAAGAATCAGAATACATATTTATCAAAAACAACTGTCTTTTTCAGTGTAGCAGAACATAACAAGAGCATAACAGACAAGCTTTGCTTTCAGTAAATAATTAACAGGAAGCAAAAACTGATCTAGACAGACATCTCATCTCTTCCATGCTGGTGTCATGTTTCTCTACTGTCTATTGTCCTCTGTTGCTGTTTCTTTCTCTGAATCAATGACTTGTGTTTTTTTTCCCCACTTTCTTCCAATATCCCAATCTAGATCGTGATCTCTCCCCTCTTTTCTTTCTCACTAAGCAGGTATCAAAACAGAGAAAGTGAACATGCTGTCCATGGCTGTGCTGGGTTTGAGAGTCCTGCTGGCAAAAAGCATCGCCTTCAATACGCTCATGAGTATCAAGTTGTTTCTTTTCTGAGGTAGGAAAATATGTAACTTGATCTGTGGAAATACTGGAAGCAGATGCCAGAATGACCACTTGGTTTTGTATACAAGGAGTGATACTTGCTCCTATCCTCCTTTTTCCATTGACTGACTTTTATAGGTTTCTGGGGGGGGGGGGGGGGGAAAGAAAGAAGGAAGGAAAGGAAAAAAAAAAGAAAGTAGTACCTGTCTGTGTCCAAAGTTCTTTTTTTTTTTCTTTTCTGGCTGATCCCCAAACGTGCTTTGCCTCTACTTAGGCCAGAGCACCTCAAGTTTTATCAGAAGCACCCAGGAAATCTCTCACTGACTGTTTCAAGTGGCAGAGCACAAAGCCTGGAGAAAAACCAAAGTGAATGAGTCGTCAAAAGTGAGGCTTCTCAAAACTAAACATGTGAAGGAGTGAGAAAAAGGGAGTAAGAGAGAGATTTTTTTTAAAAGTCAATGTACCAGAAGTAGCAAAATGAAAAGTAGAAAAGTAGAAAAATGGTCTAACCTAAGCTTTGTGAGTCTACCTCTCTAACAGCAATCAAATGGTGTCACATAGGCCCATCTGCCTTAAATGTGGGTAAGACTTTAAAACACACTTTGTCCTTCCAGGTGTTGAGGAAGATTGCCATCAATAGTCTAAGGAACAGAAGGAGAGAGTGTATACCCTCAGCAATTTCAACAGCATAGGCCAAATCTACTGACAATAAGTATTGAGAGCACAACTCTGCACCTTCCCCTGGGTCCCTATAGATTTATCAGTCCCTTCACTTTGTCATGTGGCTTTCCAGCTAATGCTATCTGGAAGTTTTCTTAGGCATATTATACTGTTGCATCCTGCTTAGCTAGTTTCTGTCGTTGTAAAAATAATTGTAGCTGCTTTTGCTGTTTCTTTTTCCCAGTGAACGGAAGAGTGTGTATTTTCCTTATCTCTCTCCTAAGTAGAAATTGATATCCCCACTCCTCTGAACATTGCATAGAAGCAACAAAATTGCTTTGGTAGTTTTGAAAAATCAGAATTTCACTATAGATTCACGACCCTTTTAAAACCCTGTCTATAGGCAAATTACACCACTTACTGTAGAGATGTTTTACAGCTTAGAGCATTCAGGCACAGTAGATATCATTTAGTGTTAATGGTTTTTAGATAGCTTCAATAATAATAATTTTCTAGTGTAAACGCAAAGATCTGTGTTGTGAAGATCCTTGAAGTGATTCACTTCAAACAGATAATATTAAACCACAGCAACACTTTAATTTGTATTTCTTTACCATGTGTCTCTTTTACAAAATGTATGACTCCTGCGTTTTGGGTTTACCCAAAATAAAGTTTTACTATGCCAAAATGTTCTGTGGTTTGTGCTGTGCTTTTTCTTCTGAATTTGGGATAGACATTACTGAAATCCAACTGTCCTGTCTGATGACCAATGCAATCTAGAAATCCAGCTTTGATAGCCTATATTTCCCCTTGGCTGAATTTGTCTTTTCTAGGCTTTGAACATGGAAAGGAAGGGTCTCTTTGGCATACTGAAAGGTTTCAGGAGGGGCATGAAATTCTAGACTCAGGGGGCTTGAATGAGGTTTGGTCTTTCAGATACCTCTGAAGAGACCTAACCAAGATACTCTGGATCATAGCAAAAAGGGAGATGTGTTTATAGAGAAATCAGTTAAGAGTTGGGTTGATATGGGCAGTAGGAATGAAAATACCGATCTCAGAAAAGGAGAAAACATGCTGGGTTTTTCCACTCATTGGTACTAGAAAGGGGCCAACAGGAAGTAAAATACAGTGGTTTGGTAGAGTGGTACAGTTTTCATAGCAACTTGGTTACTCATCTAAAAGACCCCAACACTCATCTGCAAGCAACAGGCGGGATGCTGTGGTTAATGCTTATGACTAAATCGTACCATGCAAGGAGAACGCCCCCTTATTTTGAAAAATATGTTAACCACATCCTGGAGGGGGGAGCTTATATGATTTTTCAGATACTGACATACTGCTAGCTCCAAGACAGTCCCTACAAAGGGTGTGTAGTAAAGTCTGTTTAAATAACCTTTGTCTGGCGAGTCCCTCAAATCCTGCAGATACATAGATGAAGACTGTCACCCTATCCAGAAGACAAGTGATGTTTGCACAGCAGTTCCAAAAACAGTAAAATGCTTTTTAAATTCATTCCACCACAATAATTTAAACTAGTCATTTTGCTTGCTGGTGTTTCTATCCTGATTTGCTGATAACACCCTAAACTTTTTGTGTTGCGCTCCACATCAAACCTTTTCCAGTCTCACAGGCAAGACACAGACTCGGAATACCATTTGTGGACGTTTGTGCAAATCAAGGAGTGGAGTTTTCCTGAGTGGCCTTTGGTTGGGTCTGAAAGAACTGGCAGACTGAAAATCCTGTGACACAGTCCAAACAAAGTGAAAGATCTACAGATGTGTGACTACTGAGGGACACAGCATTGACTTACACAGAAATATATCAGCCAGATAAGGACATCAGTCTCTATTTTTCCGAGGCCCAGCCATATAAGCGTAGGACACCCGAGGCCTCATTTGCATGATGAAGAAATTCAGGGCCTGTGTAATACCTCCATAGTTAAGTATTTCAGACCTCCCTGTGCACTGCTGGGAATCAGATCAGTGTGGGAAAACTTAAGAAACTGAGGTCATGAAAGAAGATGCTGATCTGGTACATAACAGTAAGCAGCCTATCCATAATCATTAAAGCTGTAATCAAAGTCTACTAGAAGTTACAGGCATTTATTGCAATGAGGGTAAGATTGTGCATGGCTTCCTAGATACCTTTGAAAGTACTTATGTTTTCTCTCCATGGGAAGAATCTTCTCCTTACACAGCATCCTATCAATACATCATCATACATTACCTCCCAGGTGATGAGAATCAACAGACTAAGCTTTTTATTAGTGACATTTTACATGACTCTCTCAGAATAACTGTTCAAAGCTGTCTTCTCCCTTTCTCTGGCATGTGTCAGCAAGAGATTTTTTTCTTCCCCTTCCTGTCAGTAGCATTGCTGCTTTATGAAGCTTTATACCTGTCACCTGCTGTGCAAGTTCAAAGGTTTTTCTCTAGCAATTACAAAAGGTAGGAAAAGGCATGACGTTCACTCTCTAACTTTTCTTGTCCAAAGAAAGCTTCTCACTCCACCTTCTACTTTCCAAAACCAGGAGATAGGACTACACTTTCAGTAAACAACTGAAGTTTCAGCATAGAAGATTTCATCAGCACACGTTCCAGGGTGTACATCTACAGAGGTTGAGAGTCGAATTTTTTCCCTCTATCACCAGATAGCTATGTCATTCCATTGTCTACAGAAAAAGCTTCAGCATGTGCTTCGTGCCTCTCTAAACTACCTAAGAGATATCTTCCTCCATTGACTAGAGTTTGGCAAACAGCTGGGATGCAAGTGGTAAAAGTGCAACACATCAGTCTTGCTGTACGAAACTACTAGTGATTGCAAATGCAAATAGGAACCTAAATGTCTTTGTGAGCTGAAGATGGAGAGGATGTTGCTCAGCTCTGTGCTCAATGTAATATTATCAGTAATTGCATGTATGAAGCAATGCTAGACAGAATACAAGTAGCATGGGAAGCAGAAGGGCTTTCAGCCTCTCCTGAAATAATGATCTGGTGGATCTGAGTACATCATTCCAATGAAGTAAACAAACAGCATCAGAAGTCAGAGGATCAGCTAAGGTGGAAGAAAGAGAAATTTTGTCTTTTCCTATTACGTGCTTGTCACAATCCATTATTTTCTTGCAGATGACTACACAAAGAAAGCAAATGCTGTGTTTATCATTATACTGGGACTGAGAGACCTCCTGACCAAAAACTTTGCTCGTAGTCCTCAGATGTTTTGTTTTCTGAGGTAAGGAGGGAGGATCAGTGTCACTTATACTGCTCAAGGAAATCCAGCAAGAACTGTGAATAGATTGAAGGTGTGCCCTTTTCTTCATGTTTTTCCCTAATGGACAACCTATGTTCTTCTGCTTCTTGTATTTCACACAACAGCTAGGGAGAGCTTTAGCAAGGTCTCATGGCATTTGGAACGTCCCTAGGAATCCAAACCAGATGTACAGAGAAGACAGTAGATGAGACACAGCTTCTCTGCCCTTTTAGCATTGCAGGTGCAGCTGCAGGATGGCCTCAGATGTCTAGAGCAGCATGGAAAACACATGATGTCCGTATCTAGTTTGGCATCTCAAAAGAGGATTCTCTTGAAGAAGAGTTTTCCTACCTCTGTGTACCTTGTTGATCCTAGATGGTCAGCCAGAACATGGGAAAAGGAATGAAGAGCCCAAAATGCACTAGAGGTCTCGAATAATGGGGTAACTAAATTCCTTGGTAACTTTTTAAGTTAAAGAGCTAGAGTGTGGAGTTCATTTTTACATAGTAAGCTTGGGTCACAAGAAAAGCAAGTCCAGCTTAGGGTCCATTAAGGTAAATAGGAGATTCTTTGCATCCTCAGGGAGTCCAGAATCAAAATCAGTGCAAAAACTGTTGAGAAAGCCTGTCCCAATGCATTGAATAATTCAGTTTTCTTCTTTACAGGATTTCAATAAATGAGTCAGTGGTGATTCAAAGAGGAGAGTGTATAATCCACCCCTCTCTATTAAATATGTGGAAGAAAAAGTGCCTTTTTTAAAAAATTAACACAAAATCTTTTCATATTAATTTTCCCTGAGTATTTTTAGGTGTTATTACAGTTTCTGTAGCACAATCCCATTTTTTAAGAGAAAGCTTAAAGAATCAATTTCATCAGCAGCACTTTTTTTACACAACATAGCAATATTTACCGTGCTTAATCAAATTATGTCATTCAGCAGATTTCTCTTAATTTCAACCATTGTGCTGAAAGTTTCAAATGGATGTATAGGCAGGTGTCGTGCTTTTTATTAGATATGAATAAATTTCATTTCTGTCTAGGCATCATCATGGCAATTTCTTTTTTAAATTTATTTTAGTTTTAAAATAACTTCTACGACCTGGCTCTTCAGAAAGCTATTTTCTTTTTCTATAAAAGAGTTCATTAGAAAGAGGAAATTAGTTGTCCAGATTTCCAGTGAAAATCTAAACTACTTTGCTAACTTCTGAAAATTCCATCACTCAGAAGTTGCTTAAAGGGCATAGCATGTTTTAGAGAGATAAGCTCATTTCTGTATTCTGTTCTCAACAGTACTTCAATCTTTATTCAGTTTTGTCAACGTCAAAGGAAATTTCTGCTTGATGTAATTTTATGGCTGTTCTGTTCTAATTTATTTTAGTTCTTTTTACATTGTTTTCTTATTTTAACTTAGTAGGATCCCCACAGTATGCTTGGCCCTCTTTTTTATCCATTGTTAGTCCTTTGCTCATAATGTGGTGCACAGTTGCCTCAGATCTTTCTGAACACTATGAATTCTTAAATCCCTATCACTAACAAAGTTTTCTGTCAATTTAAGTATGCAGTCCTTTTTGACTGCTCCCCAGCTTCATGGATATTCCCTGGCAAACGTCTGCAGCTGTCTGTATGCAAAAGCTACATCTTCATCTCTCCTAGGGTTCTCCTGCTTGTCATTTTCACAGCTTCTCCTCCAAACTGCAACTGCTGCCAAGAAACCAGTTATCTTTAGCTACATCCTATAGGCAGGAGGACAACACTGAGAGGTTCAAAGAGCCTAGTGAGTCACAAGATGCAACATCTGCATTTCTACCAACAGAACACTGAACAGTTACACCAGTTAACCCAGTTTACTTTTTTCTTTTCTCCTCCTGCAAACATCCAGATAGAATAGATCCATTCATTTCTCTGGTACGAAGCAGAGTATTCTCTCCATCTCTGCCTGATAACAGGAAGGTGTTGCATGCCATGCATTTTCTGCAGACCCTTCTCATTTGAGAGACAGTGAAAGTGCTATAGCAACCAAGAACTCTGAGAGCTTGCTGTCAAATGTTTCACCTCCAAACAGCTTCTCAGCCCTGTTGCTCCCAAAGAATCACAGCACACTGTTTGTTACATCTTCTCTTTATAAGAGGAAACATGCCACCCACAGTTTGTACTTAAAGCATTAAAGTGCTTTCAGACAAACACTCACCTCCAGTAAATGAAGTTTAACTTTATTTCCCCTTGTAGGTCTTACAGAGAGAGTTTACTAGCTAACAGCTGGGTGTCTTTTTTTGCTGAGCAAGTTCAAGTTACAAGCAGATAGCTCTCTCCTGTGGCAGAAAGTGTCAAAACACCCTAAATAAAACGTCTTTCCAAAGGCTAAATGGAAGAGAGTTCCATAGAGCAAGAGCACTTGAATAACAGCCGTAATATTTGCCATTTTC